CCCACATGGTCCCAGACCTATGACTCACGGTCTCGTTCATCAGGAGGCCCAGGTGAGGCAACTGAGCCATCTGCGCTGCCTCTGGTGCTATCTTCTGGAATGGGACTCCAGAGCTGTCTCTAGCCAGCAGAATGGACTTCCTTCCCGTGGTTCCCACCAAGGCATGGAACCAGGAGCCAACCTGCTGTGGCCTGAGGCCTGCTCCTGAGGGCCTGACTTCCCCTCCTCTCCACAGTCTGCAAGATGCAGGCATTTTCCAACCCTCTGAGGGACTCCCCCAGAGGAAGAGCAACTGGCACTTTCTGATTCCCTGAGTGACTACTTCTAGACTGTACTGGAAATGGCCCTCATGGACAAATCCATGCTGTCTGGAGCGAAGAGGGTGGTGGAGGTGAGAGGTGGGCACCTCCTCCCACCCAGCCCTCCCCACCTGCCTGGACAGAGTGGTGTAAATAGTGAGTGGGCTGAGGGGATCCTAGGTGGGCAGTCCCTGTGGCTGGAGTGTCTCTCTCCAATCCCGTGTGCAGAAGAGGTGCAGGTCCTCCCCATCCCTGAGGGGGCTCCTACTCCAAGCTCAGAGTCTTTCCTATACCTTTCCATTTTCTCCCCAGACTTGTCCGTATGATCAGTAAATCTTTGGCTGTTGGTTCCTTCTCTGTCCCAGGAAAGGTCCTTTGTATCTATGGCTGCTCCTCCTTCCTACCCCACTGCCCACCAGCCCCACTTTCTGTCCAGTTCCAAAGAGAAGGCCATGGCTGCCCCATGTGAAGGCTGAACAGCCACAAGAGCCCCCACAGCCCGGCAGGCCTACTCTTGCATAGGAGACTCTTCTGGGCAGGTATGAAGGCCAGACTCTTGCCACCCTGTTGGTGCCAAGAGGCTGGGGCCCTTCTGGGCTTGGATACAGAAGCTGGTGGCCTGGTGAGTTCAGATGGCATCCTTAGGCCTGCCCACAGAGGGTGGAGCTGTCAACCTGAGGCGAGGCTGTAGCAGTGGGCCCGGGTACCCTGTGGCAAAGTCCTGCAGATGAAATGGGGTGAGAGTGCGGCCTGAGGAAGGAACCCAGCACTGTTTTCAATGAGGAATTTATTTCTCTTAAAAAAAAAAAAACACACACACACACAAACAACAACAACAGTGGTTGGATATAGACACAGCAGCACTGTGACATGTGACGGAACATGAAAGTTTCAGAGCAGCAGAACAGAAGCAGTTATCCTCAGGAATGACCTCTAAAACAGAGCCATTTTCACCCAACACAATGAAATCTCCGGAAAAAAAAATACCTTTAGAGACTAGAATGATTATTATTATTTTAACAATGCCAATAGCCATGAAGCTCTTCTAATTGAGAACATTTATTTTTGGCCTAATACAAAAACAACTTCTAAATTGACTGGGGAAAGACAGCAAGGTTCTTCTTATTTGCGGGGAGTGTCTTTCTTCCCTCTGAGGAAGAGCTAGCTTTTCACATGTTTTAAATCATTCGTCTGGCACAAGCCTTTAAGTTTAGGCCAGAGGAGCGCCCCGTCCCCCATGCCCCTGCAGGGTTCAGCCTGAGCTTCAATAGCTAAGTGGCTGCTTGTGCAAACAGGTGCAGAAGTTGCCTTGGGGGGTGAGGCTTCCCAATTGGGGTCCGCTGTGACCTGGAAGAAGTGAGCTCTCTGCTGTCCACGAACTCACACAGCTGTGTGGCTTCCCAATGCACAGGATTTCGTACTCACGATCTTTCCATAGCAAAGGCTTACAAGTTAGAGGGTTCATTCCCAGGGCATCAGTTCTGAAGACAGGAGACAACCCGAAGAGGTTGCCCTTAGTAGGGTATAAGTATTCAGCCAGAAGGCCAGCACACAGAAACCCGTGAATGCCAACTCAGACTGGCATTCCTTCTTCCTCTAAGGAGACTTCCAGTGGTCCAAGAAGCCACTATTCCCATTGGCAAGGCTTGGGAAGGAGGCTGTGGTGCCTTCTCTGCACTGTCAGCAGCTCAGCAAGAAATTGGTGGGAAGGTAGAACTGATGACTTGAGGCTTAGGAAAAGAGAGGATGTGGAAGAAAAGATGGATTCAACAGTGAAGCTGGGCTCCTTGGAGAGGCATGGAAACTTCCTGGCCTCAGCATCCTCTGGAGGCTGCCTGGGCTCCAGGACAGGCATCCACCTCTCACTTGTGCTTCCAGATGCAAAGGGGTGTTCATGTGCATTTCCCCAGAACTCACACCAACATCCTCCTGGGGGGAGGTCTACCTGTCAGATGTGCATATCACAGGGCTCCACTCCTCTGAGATGGTGATGAATTTCAGCAGAGTAGCAAGGCCCTGCAGCTGCTGCAGACACGCAACACTCAGCCACAGGGCAAGCGAGCAGCCCTGGAGCCCCGCAGTTCAGAGGCAAGAACTAGCAGATGTGGGATGGATGGCACCCTCTGCAAAGGCGGGAATTGGGCCTTGTTGAAATTTTGCATAACATTCTGGGAGCCCCACACCTAAAAGCTTGACAAACACTCATCAGTGAGGGTGATCATGGCTAAGACTGCCCTGTCCACTGGGGACAGCAGACTGCCTTCTGAACAGTGGAAGCAGAGATGCTTCTGTGAGACCCTGTGGCTCACCCCAAAGGCACAAAGTCAGTGAATATCTGGTGAGAAAAATGTTACACTTGGAGCAAGAAAAGGCTCTTTTGCGAAGAGCTCAAATGCACGAGAGAATTACATCCAGCCACCATCCAACCCGCCATCTCCCAACAGGCAATGGGAAGGAGGGCTCGTTTGGTTTTAATTTAAAAATATCTTTTAAAAATGCAGCTGTAGTGCTGGGCACACTAGTGTGTGCCCTTAATTCCAGGGCTTGGCAGGCTGAGGCAGGAGAATGGCAAGTTCGAAGCCAGCCTGGGTAACTTAGTGAGACCCTCTCTGAAAATAAAATAAAAGGGGCTGGGGACGTAGCTCAGTGGTAGAGCACCCCTGGGTTCAATCCCAGTACCCACCTCCCCCCCAAAAAAGTATAAAAATCAAGACTGGAAGAGGAGCCAGGCAGGGAAGGAACAGGGACTGGGCCTCCTTGGGGAGAAGGGCTGGGTTCAGGCACTGTTCTCAAGATCTGCTCTGTTGTTAAGAAGACATGGATGACAGGCCAAAAGGAACAGGAGGACTGAACAGCCCTCATGACTGCCCCCACCTCTCCTGGCACTTGCAGGGTCAGGTGACGACCAGGAAGGAAGACAAGTGGTCCTGAGTCAGTGCCAAGTCCCGTGTGTTGGGACCGCTGGCACTTCTACGATGCGGAACCCTGGTAGCCAGGCATGGCTCCTTTCCCCTCCCTGGGGTTCTCTGCTGCATATGGACAGAGCCTTGGCTTTGAGGCATGAAGAGCCATCAGCACTGAGCCGTCTGGCAGGGGTAGAGTGGCTGTGAATGGGGCGAAAGGAAGGAACCTTCTAGGCAGGAGGCTGGGTGGTGGCTTGGGCTGGTGACCGACCCAGGAGGATGATGGGCCTTTTCCTTAAGGAGCATCTGCAAGAGCTTGAGGATCTTGAAAAACTGACCCGAGAGCGCTCCCCTCCTGGCAGAACCCGAATGCAGCTGTTTGTGTTTGCTTTACTTGGTGCGGCCTCCTGGGCTGCTCTGGAAGATAATACTGTACGGTAGGGTGTTTGAGAGGAGTCCGGCTATTTATTTTCTCCATTTGTTTCTAAAATGACCAAAGCCCAGACCCTTTTCTAGCAGCATGTCTGGGGATTCCCACTGAGGTTTGCTGGGAGAGCTTGGAAATGGGGCCGCAAGGCTGACCTACCCATAATGCTCCTCCTTACGTGTTCAAGTCCCAAAGCTGCTGGCTCACCTGTTAGGGACAGTCACATTGGTGACTGGTAGCCTAAGGTGCTGGTTCTCATACTCCAGGATCATCAGAATAACCTGGTGAGCCTTTAGAAGATGCAGATTCCTGGGTCCCACTCCAAGGTCCCCAGGGGCAAAGCCTGGGAATCTGCATTTTAACAGAAGGCACCACTGAGGCAGGCAGCGTCCACCCCCCACCCCTTGTGAGACACCCTGGCAGCTGCTGGTGGCTGACCAGTTCTGAGGCAGAATGGAAAGCAGGACTAGGCCAGGCAGGGGAGCAGTAGGCCAGCCACTCGCCCTGTCCTGGAGGGCAGCTGAGGGCAGATCTGCTCTTTGTCACCTTGTGAGGTAGCAGGGCATGACCAGCAGCTCCCCAGGCTGGACAGCCAGGCTACAAGGGGCCAGGGATGCTTTCAGAGGCCCCTGGTCTGGAAAGCCCCTGCACCTCCAGGGTCTACTTGTGCCTGAAACTGAGATGCCTGCTTAGACTTTGCTTCCACCCCAGCTCTCCTGCGGGAAGTGACAGTGAGATTGTCTTGAGTTTTTTTGGTGGCCCAGTCTGTCCTTGGACATGCCATTTGCCTGGAGAGACAACCTCATCCATGCCACAATGGTTAATTTGTGGGGGCCTGGTGAAGGTGCCCAGACTCAAGACTTGGTAGACACTTCAGGAATGTTCTGAGCCCTGGGTGAGCTTCCCTCCCCTCTGCAGACACAAAGGCTGAGAATGACCCACTGGATCTCACCTCCTGATGTTCCCATTGTCCTGAGGGTTTGGAACACTCGAGATTCCATGCCTAGTCCTTCCTGTTATTATGCTTCTCTTAGAAATACTATATGACAGAAATCCCCAAACACAGCACAAACCTCTTGGAAACTACTGGCTTTAGCAGCTGGGACCTTGCAGAAAGAGGCCCAGAGCCCACTGGGCTGTATGCAGTCTTCTGTGCAGAGTGGCCACCCTGCAGAAGGAAGAGGGGGCAGTAGGGAGGCAGCAATGGCAGCTGTGCCCCTGTAGGGCTGGCTGCACAGTCCCAGAGAGGACATTCTCAGGGGAATTCCAAGTGGGTCTTGAGCACTTAGTTCAGATCATAACAAGCCAATAGAAGTGTGACGCCACCGTGAGGAAAGGTTAGAGATGGATGTAGGTAAATGCAACCAACCCTTTAAAGGTGAAAGGTGAAACATTTTCTACATTTAATAAAAACATTTTCTCATCTGAGTCTCTGGAAGTCTGGAGTCACATTTTTTTTTTTTTTGGTAACCCCCCCCCCCCTTCTAAAATGTCTTAAAACACATGGCTTAATAGTGGCTGCACAGAAAAATCTACACCTCAAAGTCTGGACTTTCATTTAAATACAAATATACAAAATGTAAACTGAGACAATAGAGAAATTTACAAAACTTTTCTTTAAAAATAATAAAGACAAAAATTCAGTTCTAGTTAGGACGCCTATTAAAATACGTGCAAGTTGCCGTATCCCATTGGGTTTCTATTGCAATGTTCAACGAGGGCAAATCCAATCCACCCCAGCTTGGGGCCGCCTTAAAAAAAACAGACCTGAGTGGAAATTTCTTTGAGAAACCTCGAGGTTCGTTGAGGAGGTGGACGGTCCCCTTCCCTGGCTCCTGGGGGTTTCCCTGGCCTCCCAGCCAGAGTGGAAGCCCCACTGGCCACAAGTTCTGCTTCCAAGTAGAAGGGTCTGGGCTGGTTCCACTGTGGACTTCAAGGCCAAGGCCAAAACTAGCTGCTTCCAGTGGAGTTTGAACTGACGTGGTTTGAATTGATGTGGTGGTTATAACTGGTCTTGGAATTGGAGGAACTCTTGGAATTGTTCTGATGCTGGGGGAGAGGGGGAGAGAGAGCATGTGTCAGTCCTCCCTGAAGTCAAACTCTGGCGCTGACACATCTGTGGGGCTCTGGAAGAGGGGACAGGGTTTGCAGGGGCTGCTCCAACCCACTTCTCTTGCTTTCTGTGGCCTTTTGCATTCTCCCCTGCAGACCTGGGGCCAGAGGCCAACCTTGAGGCTGCCTGGGAAGAACCTTGGAATTAAGGGAACCCTGACTCAGGAGAAGGAAGGGCCCCTCCTGTGACATCTGTGTTGGCTAAGCCTGCAGACCTGGAATTTGACTGCTTGGGTTGGGATCTGACCACCTCTTAGTTGACCTCCTGCAGTTTCTTTAATCCCTTGGTTTCCTGGCCTGCAATGAGGAATGAGGGCTTCGTGGAGTTGTTGGAAGAATGAACTGAGGCCATGTATGCAAAGGCTCCAGGAAGTGCCTGGCCCCCAAGATGCTGGGCTGCTCATCATCAGCTTGGCACCTCCCGGCAACCCTATGGGTGCTGGGCCCCTCAAGTGGCAGGGTAGAGAGGGAGAGATGAGGAGCATCGGCCTCACAGGTGCCAGAGCTGGGCACTGTGCTGGGGGTGCCATCCCCCTCCTCCACCCGACTCCGTCCTCTGCAACTCCTGGCAGCAGGCACGTTGAGTTTTTAGGTGGTCAAACTGAGGCTGGGAGAGGTTCAAAAAGCTGCTACCCAATGAATAAATGCCAGGGCAGCATTCTAACAGGAGCCCCGAGACTCCACAGCGACTGCTTTCTAGACTGAGGAAACTCCTGGGAGCTCAGCTGCATGGGTGAGGGGAGAGGTCACTTCTTTCTGGAACTTTGGTTTCGATTGATGGAACAATTTAAAGGTTATATTTTTCTGTTATGCAAACATCAGTGTATTATAGAATGGGATGTCAACCTTACGTGGTGAGCTCGGGGCCTCAGCCTGTGTATGTTCCCTCTCCTGCTCTCCTCCAGCTCCTTCCCGGGGCTCACCAGATGTGTGAGCTTGGGCAAGTTCTTGAATCTCTCAGCCTCCGTGCTCTACTCTGTGAAATGGGGTCAAGCCTGGGCTCATAGTTCGCTAGGATGCCCGAGAGCTGCGAGGCATCCCACACGCTTATGCTCAGCCTGGCGCACAGGAGGTGCCCGAGACGTGGTGCTGAAATGAGCAGTCTGAGGTTTGGTGGGTACTAATGGGAGAAGCCCTGGGAAAGGGCCCAGTCCAGTGGCCTGGTCCACAGTGGAGCTCCCCAAAAGCCACCCTCACCCCTGCAATCAAAGCAGGGGGGCGGGGGTAGATTCTGGGACAGGAGGCTAGAACTCCACCTGCCTCTTCTTTATCCTCCTGAGGAGGAGGAGGGAGAGGAGGGGAGAAGCCAGACTGGGGGAGACTCCCGGGATGAGCATCTTCTTGAAGGGCCAGGCCAAGAAGGGGCACTCTTTGGTTGCCACTGGGGTCACAGGGTGGGGGTCACAGGGTGTGGGCCCCAGGCTCTCACTCATCTGGGTCTGCCTCCCCGCTGCGGCATTTCTCCATTTGGTCTATGCCAGCCCTTACTCCAGGGACTGGCTGTGAGGGGCGAATGTTTCCCCCCAGGATGGGTCTCCTCTGGCTGCCAGCTGCAGGGGACCCATTCAGTGATGAAGGGGGGTCTGCCCCAGGATCCCTGAGGTTCTGCAGGGATCACCCCAACGCCAGTCTCCCTGTCCTTTCTCTGTTCATCCTCATCTACACAGTTGAGTCCTACCCGGGCCATATGGGGCAGTGGCTCTCAACCTGGGGTGATTTTGTCCCCCAAGGGACACTTGGCAATGTCTGCAGATATTTTCTGCTGTCACAGCTCGGGGAAAGAGGTGCTGCTGCATCTCACGGCGGAGGCCAGGGCTGCTGCTTGCTGTCCCTCGGTGGACAGCACAGCCCGCAACAAGGAAGCAGCCCCAAATGCCGAGTGTGGAGGGAAAGACCCCGACATCAGGTAGACTTGGGATGCCCACCCCTTCTGCCCTGGGGTCCCTTCTGCAGCTCTGGTCTTGCTGCTTTACACAGACGTGGGCCGGGGTCCGCACTGAGGCCGGGTTGGCAGCCGGATCTCACCTGACGCCGGAAGAGCCTCTGGAGCAGGCCTTTCTTTGGTGGTTCTGGAGGCTGACTTCTGTTTAGGTCTGGTGAGAGGGTACCGTCGGGTCCAAACACATTCAGCTCCTTAAAGCATTCTGTTTCTATCATCTGGAGAGGCCAGCAGGGACATGGCCTGTCACCCGGGCCTCATCTTCCCTGACCCGCCTGCCCTCTACCTCCTGGACCCAGATGAGGCTCCCCTGTGACTCGCCCAGGGGTGGGTGCAGCCCCCGTCTGCCCTTGTTCGGACTCCAGTGAGAACAGGAGCTTGCTCCTCTTCTTCCACCAAACCCATCTCCCAGTCGCCTCTCTGTCCTGCCTCTGCGACTGCTGTTTTCGTCTTCCCTCCCAGCCAGACCTCTCGGGGAGGCCAGTGCTCCTGCCTCTGTTTGCACGCAGCCCACCTGGCTGGCTTCTGAACCCCACCCTGCACCATGGCCCTGGCCCAAGCTCCAGGGACTGTCCCTGGGGCACACCCAGCAGCCACATTTCTGTCCCTGTCTCACCCTGCTCTCAGCAGTGTCCTGGCCGCTGACCACCCCTCCCTCCCAGAACGAAGCCACTGTCCCACTCTGCCCACCTCGTTTTGCCACGGGATGGACACGGAGCCTGTGGAGAACTTGGAGTAGAAGTCATCGTCCGTGTGGTCCAGGTTGACGCCCTTCACGGTGGAGAACTGCTCGATGTCCAGCACGTCCTTACAGTACACGGCCCGCGGCTGAGGAGGCAGAGGGCTCGCTGCACATGCGCCCTGCTTGTGGCTTACGAGTCCCTGAGCCAGGCCTTGGGGTTTTGATGGGGAGCAGGGGGGCTTCTTCCTGGGGCTCCCCCAAACCTGCCCTGCTGTCTCTGAGCCACCAAGGGGACCCAGCCAAAATGAAACAACAGCTGGGTGTCTAGCTGCTCAGTGCAGGGCTCCTTCCTGCCATTGCTTCCTGACACCTGCCAGAGTTCACCCCTAGATCTAGGCTGGGCTGAATGGGGAGGGGGCACCGCCTGTCTCTATGCTCATGGTCCTTGGCACCTCTGGCCTCCCCACACTCCCTTAGCCATGTCAGTTATCCTGAAGGTCACAGCATTGGGAAGGTGGCAGCGTTTCCAGTGTCACCTCTGTTGGATGAGAGCTTGCGCTGGACAGTTTGGGGCCTCTGGTCCACTGCTCCATGGAAAGAATGAGTGCTGGGGACTCGGGACCAGAGCAAGGGCCTATGTGGGAGTTTGCCTCCCTCAGGTGACCAAGTTTCAGAAGACGGATGTCCTGGGGGTGACTGGCACAGGAATAGCTCCCAGCCCCTTCTCATGTTAAGGGGCAGTGAGGGCTATGGGTTAGCACCCAGACCTGGTGGCCAGGCAGACCTGGGCCATACTCCCAGCTGCAGTGCTTAGAAACTTTGGAGAAGTCACATATGCCCTCAGTTTATTCATCTGCAAATAGGGGGACAACAGAAGCCCAGGGCCATCGAGCTTCTGGGAATGCTTAAGTGCCTAGCACCGTGAGTGTGCGCTGCTGTGATCATGACAGCTTGGTTTTTAACCTCACCCGCCCGTCAAATAAGAGCAGAGGGCCTGCTCCACGCCAGGGCTCCTAGAAACGAATCTGGCTGGACTCATCGGTTACTGGAGGTGGCTTCCCAGGGCTCTAGGAACCTGGGTGTGGAGACGGGGGCTTTATAGATGACTGCGGGGGGTGGGTGCAGAATGCCCCCCAGACCTGGCAATGTGCCTGTAGCTGGAGGGCAGAAACAGGCTCCCCAGGTCTGCCGAGGGCCCAGCACAGACACTGGCTAATTCGAAGGTCATGAATCGGCATTGGCATGCGGGCTTGGCGTGGGCAGCAATCACTCAGAGGGCTCTAGACTGATCTCAGGACTGGGTACTTTCTGGGGCCTCCAGTCCTAACTGCTGCTCAAGGAACAAGTAGGAGGCTTGGAGGCCACTCAGTCCCCAGTGCAGCAAATCGCTGGGCCGAACTGTGCGTGGGCAGCAATGGGGTGGGGGGCGTCCAGCTTCACAGCTGTGATTTGCCTCCTCTACTTCCAAGGCCAAGGGTGCGTGCCACCGTGGAACATGGCGTATCATGTGCAGGGCCCAGTGTGCATGAAGCACAGGGTCCTGTGCTCAAAATGTATTCAGAATTTCAAGATGGCAACAGCGGGGCTTTGAGCCAAGTGGGCCAGTGTGACTGCTTGTGTCCAGCCCCCGAAGCTGGCCCTGGGAGACATGGAGATGGACATTTTTCAAAAAGTGTATTTTTAAAAAATCTGTTCTGGCACAGAAATTTACCTAACTTGCCAAAATTTACCATCTCATGGCTATGACTTCTTGGAGAAGTCTCCTTTTGGAATACGTTTATAAAAAAGTCAAGTGAAGTGAAAAAGATAGAGTCAGCAATGGCCCTGAGGGTTATGAATGTGGCCGCAGTCTGAAGGTGGTGTAGGAAGAAGAAGGAAAGGCAGCTGGGGTGGAGGACAGGCCAGCCCTAGGGACAAAGTCCCCAGCTCACAGGGATCTGTAACTTCTGCTCACCTCCCAATTGGCTGGTAGGCCTGGGGCCTTGGCTGCCCAGAGCAGGGGCCATGGACCACAGGGTCCACAGGGTGCTGTGGACCTGGGGAGGGATGGACACATCCAATGGGTGATCTCATCTCTACATGACAACCTGAGGTGCTCTGCAACCCGGCAGGAAGGGTCACAGTCAGGGGGACCAACCACCCCTGTTTGCTCAGGACACAGGACTTTCAGTGCTAAAACCAAGACAGTTCTGGGCAAACCTGGATGACTGGTCACCCTGATTATCAGAGACGCCACCTTCCACCAGCTGGAAGGCTCTTCTGGCACTGCCTGGCCAGCTCCATGCAAAAGCCTTCACGACACCATCTCCTCCTCCCAGGTCCCGTTCTCTGCTCTCACTACTCCATTCCCAGTTTCACTTAGGGGGTGCTTGCTGACACGTTTCCTCTCAGACGGAGAGTGCCCAGAGAGAAACAACCCAGTGTTCTGTTCACCATGGGTCCCCCAGGGTCTGGCACAAGGCCTGGAGCATGCCGGGAGGTTGTTATGTCTGATCTCATCCCATCACCATAGCAACAACCTGGGGTGGGGGATGGTTCCAAACCTTGGCCCCAGACCCAGCCTGGGTGTCCACCTCTCCTGCAACTTGGGACATTAACCCAATAACACAACTGTCATGTCCTTGCAACCACTCTGAGTGGTTTCCAGGGATACTGAGTTGCAGCTGTGCCCAGAGACCTCAGTGTTAAAAACTATAAGCCACAAACTCCTGGCTGGTGGCCTTTCCTATAGCACAGTCACTCTAAACCCCAGCTGCATGTTAGAATCACCTGAAGAGGTTTTGAAAACCCTCAGGCCCAGGCCTGGTCCCAGATTCCTTGAGGACCAGGTCTAAGATCAGCATTTGTCATGTCCCCTGCCCCAGATGGACAATCAGGATTGAGAGCTATAACTGGGACTCTCTCCACCACCTGCTGACGCTAGCTAGGCTGGGCTGTTTGTAGCACTCAGTGTGACTTTTACTCTACATGCTCAATGGCTCCCTTCTCCCTCCATAACTGGCCAGATGGGGTCAGCGGTGGCTGCCCCGGCCACTGTTTAACACCCAGCTGGGCCCTGTTTCTCAAACCTGCTGCTGCCCTCCTGCCCTGCCCAGATGACCAGGGCATCCCCATCTACAGGGAATGCTGGAGTTCCAAGGCTGGCCCCACCTTCCTCTGCACAGGGTGGTGCTGGGGCAGGGGGATGGATGGCAAGGCTCTGATCTGTTGCCGATGGCAGTGGTGCACATATTCTCACCCCTCTACTACAAGTGGCCAACCTGAAGTGGCTGAGCACTGAGTTGGGAAGAGGGTGTATACTCAGCTCTCACAGGATGCAGGAAGCCAGCCCACTGTCTCAGGGTCCCAGGTGTAGCCTCCATTCCCCACCTGGGATGTTGTCCCAGTCTCTGAGGACTGCAAAGGAACAGAGGCGGCAGCAGATCTTTCGGACTTTCGACCTCTTGATTCGACAGAGTTCAGGCCCTGGAGCGGCAGCCTTAGCCTGTTCTGCCCCTGCCAGGGCCAGGTCCCTCGAGCCTCTAGCCCAGCTGAGCGTGAGCCTGGGCTTCAGGGACTGTATCAGGCCTATTTAACTGAAGTGCTGCCTCACACCCTGACTTAGGACCTCACGAGGGAGATGGGCCTCCTTGTAATTTGAGCTGGCCATGCCTGGCCCAAAATCTGGCATAAACAGTAGGTGCTCAGTGCATGCTAGCCTACCATGCTCTTGAAAACCCTCTCCATTCAGTTCATTTTACCGTTAGCTGTCCCTGGCAGTTTGGAGGAGAGGCGACATTGGCCTCATTAGGGGAGGAAACTAAAGCTTAGGAGGGATTTATCCAGGTCCCTCAGTCCAAGTACCCAAGTCTTTGGATGATCAGTGTGGGGCTCCCAGGCCCATACCCCATCTGAATCACCTGGCATGAAGTTCATTTGCAGCACTGGCACAAAGTAGCCAGAGGGAAGGGACATGGTCCCCACGAGGACAGCAGCATGACCCATGCTCTGCCAACATGGAGGCAGTGAAAGAGAATGGCCCTGGGCACGGGCCTGCTGGGTAGCAGGCCTTGGATCTTCTGGGGGCTGGGGAGGCTACTCACATCTGGAATGAAGGGAGGGTCCAACATCCCGGCCTCCAAGCGCTTGAAGTTCATGTTCCTGAAGAACGGGTGCCTCTTGACCTCGGCCGCACCCTCCTCCTGGCAGCCCAGCCTCTGCTTGGCGTCTTTGGTGAGCAGCTGTGACAAATGACCATGAGGCATGCGGTTAGGCCTCTCCTCGTGCCAGAGGCCAGAGGGCAGAGGAGTGGAGGGACGTCTGTGGTCACTGTCACACTCTCTCTCCCACCTATATCTCTGAGCCCTCCCAGGTGTTCCGACCCCAGCGCTGGCCTCCTGAGGCTCACAGATAAAAGGGGATGTGTTCCCCAAACAGAAGAGCCAAACGTGGCAGCAGGGCAAGCACCAGGTGACATCCTGGTAAGGATTAAGCACTTTTAGGCCCTATAGGTGTCACTCTGCTCCTCTGACTACCGGGCTGGTGGCTCAGGCCTGTTACCCACACCTTGGCTTCTCTCCTCTATGTGTAAGGGAGTGGGATTTGCTCTACATGTTCCAAGAAAGGCAAGGCTCCCCGTGTAGCGGCTGGATGTGCTGCCGCAGCCCCCAAAGCTTGCAGGGCTGGCCAGACTGGTGGCATAAACCAGATCACTAAAGGTGAGGGGTGGACTGGAGTTGGGGGCAAGCCTGACAGGCTGCACATCGGCTTCTGTCAGGCAGGAATGTCAGCCAGGGCCCAGGGCTTCTGCTTCTTTTTCAAGAGGTGCCAGAAACTCAGGTTTTTATGTGAATTCTCCTTGCTTTTAAATCTTGGCAATTAATCCACTATTCAATTCTTTCTAAAACATTCCAGATGAAATGAACAAAACACCCTCCTACATGCTGCCAGTCTGCAACACGATCTCAGGTGTACATCAGAGGGGGAGAGGGTGTGAGCTGGGGTGGGCGGGGCAGGCAGAGAGCAGGCCTCCTGGAGGGCAGGAGGGAGGGCAGGAGGGAGGGCAGGAGGGAGGGCAGGAAAGGTCCAGGGCTGGAACTCAGCAGGGGCCTAAGAAGGTGGACACTGAGGTCTGGGCCTAGGGTCTGGACCCAAGGGACAGAACAACAAGATGCATTAACTTCTGGACCTCAGGGGTCAGGGCTGCCAGGTCCTGTGGCTGCCAAGATGGAATGGGGAAGGCCTGGGGCCTGAGACCCGCTCCCTTGCTGCTTGTGGAGCAGCCATCTTAGGCAGGAAGGTTGGAGCTGTCTGAGCCCAGGAGCCGCCCCATGGACTCAGGCCTCCAGGGTCTCCCTGCAAGTCAAGCCCTGTGGTACCTTGAGCCAGTTGGAGAACACAGGCCTCAGAGGCAGCAGTCAAGGGTGAGGAGGAGGCTGAAGACAAGAGTCCTAAGATCCCAGGAGAGAAGACAAGGCCAGAGTCCTCTGGCGTTTCTTCCATGGGAGAGTCACTTTGTACCCCCAGGCCTGGTTCATTGGAGCAGTCAGCTCAGCAACAGCCAACTACTTTCTCTCGAGGCCACAAGGGGGCAGCAGAGAGACATCTGTCTTGCTGGTTGCTGGAGGAGATCCCAGCCCACAGCTAGAGAGGATGTTTGAGGGTGCAGGGGTGGGAGTAGGGGTCCACTCTGCCTCCTATCCTTTAGCATGCACCATGTCCTTGTTGATGAAAACTTCATTCTCTGAATCGATGATCCTGACCTGCGACATTCAATGACGCTCTGACCACAGCTGTCCGACTCCCTCTTCTACAGCCATGTCCAGGCTGGTCGCGTGGCATAGATTCCCCCCCATGGCACAACCAAGCATTGTCCACGCCCCTGTTTCCATCCATCTGAACTTTTCTGCCTTGTTCTTCTTGTCCCCAACCCCAACTCTGGCTGCAATGACTACCTGAGTCTCTTGGGGGCCTCTTAGCACAGTTGGCCAGCAAGCTACAGGGTTTGGGTGTGTGCTGCCCGGTACACAGTGTTCCTTCCCAAGGGTCCCTCTCATCCTTAGTTCCACTTCTTTTGATTGTGGTCAGATGACAGATCCAGCCCCAAATCCTTCTTCCCACTGCTCAAAGCCATAAATGAAGCTGGTAAGAGAAGGGGCTGGGCTGAGCGTGGATGGCTGTAGCTGAGGGGCCTCCAGGGCTGGGGAGCCAAGCCCCTTGGTTCCTTGGCCACTAGCAGTGCAGCCTGAGGTTCCTGGAAGCAGACCCTTGGGGGTTTGTCACTGGCTTTCTAGGCCAGCTCTTCCCTAACCTCCAGCCGGGCTGTTCATACGGGCACTGAATCTGCCCCAAGGCCACCGTGGATTCAGAGAGGAGGGAAGAGAGGACTCAGTCCACACCCCAAGGTGCAGTGGGACACCAAGGACAGGAAGTCTGTGGGCTTGCAGGTGTACAGAGCTGGGCATTCAGGCCCTGGACATTCAGCTGCCTCTCATTGTGACTTGGGAGCTCAAGAGCCAGGTAGAAATAGTAAGTGGCCATCTCCCTACAGAGCCAAAGAAGGGCCTGAGGGCCAGCCCTAGAGTGGGGCCCACCTAGGCTGTAGCCCAGGGTGGACCCCACCTTCAGCTCTCCCACTTTCGTGGCGCCTTTCCCCTTCCTCTCTCTGGCTGACCCAGTCCCCCGGTGTGTGCAAACCACTCCCATGTGTGTCCTGCTCAGGGTGGGTCACATCCGCTATCCTAGCTGCCGTCATGCAGAACCTGAGCCCGTGTCGCCTGCACTCCACTGAGGGGCCGGAAAACTTTAAGGTACTCAGACTGAAACCATCACTGCCCTCCTGCAGACTCGAGTCAGCACCCTGGGGTCCAGAGCTGAGGGAGCGGCTGACTTGCCTGTAGAGCTGGGAGTGTGGGGTGAGGGTGTCTCGCTGCCCACCTCAGCTCCCTTCCCCTTGGCCTGCATGTGCCCTCAACCCCAGGCTTCTCCCGAGCCCTTCGCTAACCACCGTGGTCCTCGGCAAAGAGCGCAAGCACCTGGGCCTCGGTCTCCTCCACCCGCAGCCTAGCGCGCCCTGACGCATGTCCCTTCTGGGGAAGGCTGGGGGCTGGTGGGTGAGCCACCCCTGGACACCTTGGGCTCACTGAGACTTACCATCTTGCAGATGGACTTGGCCTCCTCGGAGAACTTGTGGGAGTACGCCTCCTCTGTCTCCAGGACCCGGCGGTCCACCTCTTCCCGCTTCACCTTCTCCTTGCGACCACGGAACGGTGACTGGCCCTCGATCATCTCATAGATGAGACATCCCAGGCCCCAGTAGTCAGGGCTCAGGCCATATCGCTGGTTGTTCAGAACCTCTGGAGCTGGAGGCAGAAGAAAAGGGCAGGAGGGGTAAGAGCTAGCAGCAGCAGGACACTGCCCAGCCATATCGGCCACAGCTGCTCCTCACCTCAGAAGAGGTTCCTGCACCCTGGAGCAGCGTTGCTGGTGGGTGACCTGGAGTGTCTCAGCTGGGACATCCCCTCCTCCAGCCCCTGGGCCAGCCGCTGGAAACCTCAGCTCCTCCAGGGTGCCTGCTTTGCACCATCAAGGGCTCTGATTGTAGCCCCAGAACTGAGAGGTCCTGCTCCTTTGAGGTGCCCCCACCAGAACACGCACTCACTGCCTTTTCCACTGCTGTGTCCCCAGTGACATGCAGTAGGTGCTTATATATACTTGTTGCAGCAAATAAGGGTGTGTCCACCCGAGTTAAGGATTTTAAATTGATCTGGAATTCAAACAACCTCCCATTATGTCTTTCCTACCCCTTTGATAGAATGAACTCTAGATTCACCATAGAAGCACAAGAAAGACAGTCACACGTCATGTGTGAACACATGCACACATGCACCAGGTGCACGACAGCGTTGCACACGAAACGTGCAACACCCTGTGCGAAAGAAGACGATGTAAATGCAGAAGCCGACATGTAAGCAGGGATGCAGAGAGGCTTATCCATCATCTACCATCATCTACGTGTCTGTGAGCATCCACACGGGCATGCGCAAATTCACACAGGCACACGCCCTTAGGTCGCCAAATATCTTGCAATCTGCAAAGGACTCTTCAGCACCAGAGACCAAGCACTGAATCCCACAGGCACAGCCTGGGTGGAGGGCAATGAGGTGCCTGGCTCCAGAGCTTGCATGGTCCTGTGTCCCAGGGTGAGTGGGGCATGTCTGCAAGGTATAAGAGGAAAGCTGGGGGAGGCCCCATTTGGAAGCAGGGCTTTGGGGGCCTGGGTTTAGCTCCAGGTCACTTTCCTGAAGCCCCTGGGACGTTGGTCTTGGGGCGGACTGAGGGGGGCCAGGGCAGGTGTCTAATTAGAATCATGCTTGGTGACACAGCGGACTCATTTTGGACCCTTCCTAATGACCTTCCTCCTTTCAGGGGGCTATCTGCCTGCCCCCCCAGACCCCTACTTCCATGAGGCCTCCCTAGCAGTGTCGAGTGCCAAGCTCTGGCCACCCCCAGAATGGGGTAGGGGCTGCAGAGAGCTCTTCGGAGGCTGCACCTAGGGTCCCATGTGCCACCTTGGCTGGCTAGGGTCCACCAAGGAGTCAGCAGGGGCCTTGACTACCTCTGACCAGCGGTGCTCTGTGGTTGGGGGCCCAAGGGAAGGGTCAGCATGCGACAGGAGCAGGGCCACACTCACCCATGTAGCCGACCGTGCCCACCCGGCCGCGGATCAGGTCTCCCTCAGGGATCTTCACAGCCAGCCCCAAGTCTGAGATCCTGATGTGGCCTGTGGGGGACAGCAGGGTCAGCGGGCTTCTGGACAGCTGTGTGGGAGCTTGGTCCACCTCAGCCACAATGGCGAGGCACATGAGCTCTCAGTTTTCCCTCTGTCCCATGAAGATGTGACCCTTGTCTGCCTCTCAGGGTGAGCACAGGACCCGGGAGAGGCCAGGCATGACGTGCCGTGGGTGAACTACACTTTTTAGGAGTAAAACACAAAGATGCAAAAGGATGCCGGGATCTGGCTGGGCGCTGGCCGACCTGCCTCATAAAATGCCCTAATGGGCTTTCTGGAAGGCTGAGGTCGCAAAGTTTAAAATGTGCTGGCCTGATTCTGGGATTGCTTCATGGGAAAAATATGAGATTCTCCTGACATTTTGCAACAATTTGCTTAAGGGGAAAAAATTACAAAGCAATTTGGGAAGCAGCTCCCTGCCCTGCCTGGTTGGTTTTTGGAGGTGGTTTGTTTTTTTCCCTTCAGAGAAAAAAGGAGAGCAAATGTCTGGAGATGGAGCCCATCAGAGTCCTCAGAGTCCAGTACGGACTCAAAGACCCAGGAGGCGCCCACTGAGAGCACCAGCGCTGCCTTTGCCTCACCACAGGCAGGGTCATGGCTACATCTTACCCTACAGGAAGGAATGTGTCCCTCCGCTTTCTGCCTGTGGATACCAGGGCCCCCTGCAGCCTAGACCTCTGCAAGACCCAGTCCAGAGAGCAGGTGGGCGTGGGCAGTCAGCAGTGGGAGCTCAGTGTGGGCGGGGCCCTGAGACTGGCATGGCTCTGGGCCCATCCACAGAGGACCAGCAGGCTCCGGGACACCCCGCTTCTCCAGGCACAGCACCCCAAATAGACCTCTCTCCAGGGGCCTGGGGCATGCAAGAGGCCTGGGTTCTGCTCCCTGCTCCCCACTGATACCACCAGCTGAGATTGGCAGCCTGGCTCCTTGGAGCCTCAGTCTTGTCACCTATGAAATGGGCACTGAGACCCCACCTTCTGTGGAGATGGGAAATTCTGGTCAGGTAGCAGGTGTGGGAGGCTACATGGTCCTCAGGGGTTACTGAGGCTGCTCTTGCTATCCCTGTGCTCACTCCCAGGAGAAAAGAACGATGGTAGCAGACAAGCAATAACACTTAGCAGGCTAACAGGGGCTCCCCACGGCTGTCCCCCCCTAGGGGGGAAGGCAGTATGCTCCTGGTTTTCACGCAGAGCAGGGAAGTTTCGTGTAAGTGTCTGTCAGCGTCTCCGAAATGCCAGGCTCCTCACGCAGTGCTCTCTGTCCCTCTGGGCCAACCCACGATGTTTCCTCACGAAACAGAAGCTTTGTCCACACCCACTGCCTCCCCTGGCCCAGGACTGAGAAGCTGGAGTGAGGTCTTCCCATGGCCTCTCCTCCAGCGGCCCTGTGGCCAGAACCCTGCAGCCATCTCCCAGAACCCTGAGCCCGACTCACCATAGTCGTCCAACAGGATGTTTTCAGGTTTCAGATCTCTGAAAGGGAATGACAAGAGGCACCTGAGCGTGCCCATCCTGGGCAGCAAGGACAGACTGGCACCTGGACTGACCCCTGGGTAACTAGGCCCGAGCACCCCAGGGCGTCCCCTCCCACCTCTGGGCTCTGACCGGCTGGTCTCTCTAGGTCAGGTTAATCTTGGGGTTCTTTATCTCCTTCCAGTAACTTAAGACAAAAGCTGCTGTTTGCCACAGGCATCTTCCTGCCCTGAAGGGTGACTGGGAAGGTAGGAAAGGCCAGTCCTGGCACCTGACCACATACTGACAGCCCCCAGGGCAAGGGAGACTGGCTGGTGTGGTGACAGACCCTCTTGAGGGCTGGGAAGACCTGAAGGTCCTGGGAATGAAGAAAGAGAAATCACTGCATCCAAAGCTCCCGCTGAGCCACTGGGGAGAGAGAGCTGCAGGGGAGAAGCTGGGGCCCTGGTAAAGACCCCTGTGGGTAGGGCTCCAGGAGGCCCACATATTCCTGCCCCAGCTGGGCCACAGCCAGGGGGAAGCAAGCCAGAGGGTCACATGCAGGTGCTGCTGCCTCATCTATTCCCAATCCTGCCTCCTTTATGCAGGAACTTGCTTGAAATTAGGAGAACCACTGCCTTCCCAGAATGGGGGACAGGCATCAGAAGCTTCTGGCTTTCCTAGTAAAGGGTAATACCCCAGAGAGGGGTGCACACAACTCAGCTCTGCCTTGGGAATGACAATGGAGCCCATCTGGATGGGGTTCCAGTTCCCAAGCAATGGGCTTTGTTTATTTAACTGAAGGCAGCTGTCCTTATGGGGAGTGGTTAATGTACCCAAATCCACTGGGCAGCCTCACAGAGTGATAATTAGTGTCTGTGTATACTTGTTCATTACGAAATAATGTTGTTGCTATTGTTATTTACATTGTCTTCCTTTGATGTGTTAACAATTCCAAATAAGGACAAGAGACACCTCCTCAATAAACCAGCATCTGCCTGGCTGGAAGAACAGCTCCCCAGGGGCATGGGCCAGAACCAAGTCCACACAGAGGGTCAGGACCCCAGAAGAGCAGGGTTCTCTGCCTCCCTAGAAGAAGGGGAGCTGGACTTGGAGGGCTCTATTTTCCGTTTTCTTTCTTTCTTTTTTTAAGCAAAAGGCAATCAAGTGGAGGATTCTTTTTTCCAACCCTTAAGGAAAATGTTCTCTTTTCACTTGAATAAAAACAAACAAACAAAAAAACACAAGCAAAGAGATGGGATAGGGGAGGGCTTGTCACCAAGACCATTCTTTCCGGTTCCCAAAACTTTCCTGGACTCCTCAAATGGCTGGGGCTCTACACAGAGGTCTTCAAGCTGGGACCAGGAGGGTCTGTGGGAATGTCAGTGTCCCAGGCGCGGCCAGCCCCAGGGCTGTGGTTGCTGACATCATTCTCACCTTCCAGGAGCCTCCCGTACATTTTTTAGACAGATGATGGTGCAAATCAGTTTGCTACAGTGATGTGATTCCACTAGATCCACTGGTAAGTGTTCAGTTTCAAAATATCAATATTTGCCACTATTTAAACACGTGTTGGGATATTTCAATGTCAAACCATAATGAATAGGGGCAAGCTGACAATTTCAACGTCAAAAAGCAAGGGGCACAGAGGTTTTCAAGTTTCTTTGTGGAGCATTGTGAGCAGCGAAGTCTGCTGCTGACCCTGAGGAGAATCTGGACACATGGCCCCACAGTCCAGGGCCCTGTGGCATTGAGGTCCGTGCGGAGAGTGATGAGCACAGGGTGCTTCTCTGATGCCTGCCCCTGGGCGGCCTCCCTCTCTAAGCTTCCTGGGGCTGATTCCCCTGAGCTTCCTGGGGCTGGGCTTCAAGGACAGGGGTTGTGGCCCATTGACCTCAACTTGGGGGAGCCGGGGCTTGGGGAGCATCATTTCACATGCTTGGCTTCCCTATACTTTGGAGGCTAGAGAACATACTGGAGAGAGCCCTCCTCACTTGCTCGGTCCTGGGGATCCCTGGGGCTCCACGGTGGGAGGAGACCATCTGACTCCTGCATCCTCACTTGTGCTGACCTGGTGCAGGGCCAGCCCCACCCAGTCAGACTCCCGGGAGCACAGCTCACCTGTAGACTGTGTTCTCGCGGTGCAGGTCTTCCAAGCCGCAGAGGATCTCAGCTGCATAAAACAAGGCTCGCTCCTCCTCAAAGCCAGGGTTCCCCATGTTGTAGATGTGGAACTTTAGGTCGCCCCCATTCATGATGGTTAGGACCAGGCACAGGGCATCCTTGGTCTCATAGGCATAGGCCAGGTTGACCTTGGAGTGCAAGAGCAATCATGGTGAGCTCATGGCAATCACCACCCACTTCTGTCTCCCTTCTCAGGTTCCTTGAAGCTGGAGGCAGGTGGTGGAGGCTATCTGCACCCTGAGACCCTCTTAGTTACCTTATCTGCTTCCCCTCTTGGCTGATGAAGGACTTAAACTTGACTCCTTCTAAGTGGTTCAAGGTGAAGGGGACACGGGGAGGAGAGAGGTAGGCCAGCACCGTGATCTTCCTGGATTCCTACCCCAGAATGGTGTCTGTGCTTTCCCACCACAAAAGCTTCTGCATTCATTAGTTGGTTAGAACTGGTATTGTCTTTTTGGTTGGTCAGGAAGGTGGGACTTGGCTGCCCTTTGGGTTGTAAGGACCCATTATCTCAGGGGTGAAGGGCTAGGAAGTGGCCAGTAGGGCTTTGGGGAGTGGAAGACAGCCTGGCCAAACTTTCTCTTGCAAGCAAGACCTGCCATGTCCACCTGCCAAGGGAGCCACTAGGAGAGGTAGATTCCAGATACCCAAGGCACTACGGATTGGGGCCATGGGGTAACTGGAGAGGTGGGCAGTGTTAGGGTTGATTGGAAATTACAATGGGTGGAATTCCTTCTTCTCCACTTAGAGAGTTTGCACAAATAAAATCTGAGCACTGCAGACCGCGCCAGGGAGAGGCTGGGCCATCAAACTTGGAGGGAAACATCAGGAACATCATTCATTTCTGAGGAAAGGTGACAAAATGGCAGCGGAGGGAGAGCAATCTTGTAGGGTTGTGTTTCTGTCACCAACTGCTGCAGGTACAACTCAAACCTGCCCAGGTGGTCCCGGGGAAGGGCTCCTGCCACAGGGCTATGGTTTGCGTGAGCATCTTCAAAGGATCATGTGTTTGCGGCTTGGTTCCCAGGGTGGCGCTATGGGAGGTAGTGGGACCTTCAGGAGGAGGGGTCTAGCTGAAGCCCTGGATCACTGGGGGTATGCCCTGAAGGGTGCAGTGGGACCCAAGCCCGGTCTCCCTGTTTCCTGGGTGGTTTTCTTCACCATGAGTTCCCACTAGAGACCAAAAGCAATGGGACAACGTGATCTTAGACCAGAACCTTCAGAACTGTGAGCCAGAATAAATTTAAGTGCCTCAGGAATTTCACTTTGGTGATGGAAAGCTGAATAATAAAAAGTGTCACAGTGGAACTCCCTGTGGGCACAGTGAATGAGACACAGTCAAGGAAGGTCTAGCCATCAAAACTAATGGCCCGTGAGGAGGTGTCAGCCCGGGTTTGCCAGGCACAGGGTCCTTTTCCTGGAAGTGGACCCCCCAGCACCACCCCTCCATGGGCAGCTTCGAGGGGGCCATCAGCAGTCAAAGAGGCCTAGGCCCAAACTGGCAGGTGTTGGTTATCCACCTCCTCCTGTGAGGTGCCATGGCACTGCCCACCTCTTCCCCCTGGACAAGGCTGGCGGCTGGGGGCAACCTGAGATGAGACTCAGAGACCCAAACTTCTGTCCCCTTTGACTATCACTTTATAAAACCACCTTCCTGTGAGGGATGACCAAGGCACTGGGCTGATGTGGTCTCTCCTCTCACAGTTGGCGGGAGTTTAACGGGGACAAGCTTCATGGACAGCCATTTGGGAACAGCCATCAAATGAAAAACCTGCATACCCTCTGCTACGGCAATTCTTCACCAGGAACTGGAGTGCTACGGGGACGTTCACAGGTGTCCACCCAGAACCCACCAAAGGAGAGTTCAAAGACGGATCCTGCAGCATTGTTTGCAGTGGTTTAAAACGAGAAGTGATTTCCGTACAGTTCATGGTTTATCTTTTCCAAGCAATCATCCAAAAAGAGGTGAACTATTGGTGTGGATAAAGGGAGAATACAATTTAAGAGGAAAACGTACCATAAGGTGTATGAGAAGGGGGCTGGGGTCAGAGCTCAATGGTAAAGCACTTGCCTAGCACGTATAAGGCACTGGGTTTGATCCTCAGCATCGCATAAAAATAAATAAGGGTATTGGAAAAATTGTGTCCACTTACAACAAAAAAATTTTTTAAAAGATGTATGGGGAGACACTGCTAGTTAGAAATAATAAAGCCTGTGTATGAATAAAACATGTCTGGAATGATCTCTCAAAGAGGGAGGCATTTATTTTTATTGTGTACCCTTCTGTGCTGGTTGCATTATTACCTTGTACATGTATTAGTTCTTAATAACATGTTACAGAGACCAAGTATCAATGTATTCCTCCAAACTTCCCAGCCTCCTCTACAGCTAGCTTGTCCCTTGAGGTGACTAGTTCATGTGGAATGTCAGTCCAGTTGAGCACTAAAAATTTCCTGGGGAGACCCACCCCCAGCACTCCCTCCAAGCTTCAGATGGAGTAGATGAGATGGCGGAGAGTGGCCTGATCTGACTGGACTTGATGTGGTTGACAAGATAACTTATTGTTTTCAGCGACTTAGAGTTGGAGCTAATTTGTCACTGCAGCAAAGCCTAGCCTAGACCACCTAACATGATACACACAAACAAAATGGTGTCTCCCTAAGAAACTCCACCACGATGGTCTCCACCATGATGAAACCAGTCTAGAGGGTCTATAGGACCCAAAGATCCTTTTGATTGAGCCTGAGGTGAACTTATTTTGTTCACTAAGGAGTTTACAAGGTGGTCCTGGGGAACCGAAGTCTCAGGCTCACATGCAGAGGGTGTCCAGGCACTGGGCAGGGCTGGAGACAGGACAAAATCAGCCATGACTGACCTACAGCTTTCTTACTTCCCTGGGGGTGGGACCTGCCACACTGGAATACCACCCACCAGTAGGTGAGGGGGGTCTGGGTTACCAGAAGCACGGGCCTGTTGTTGGGCCCTGGACACTCACCACGAACTGGCTGTTGACCTTCTCGAGAATCTGCTTCTCATTGAGTGCCATGGACTCCCCTTTCCTCTTTTTGATCCTCTTCTTCTCCAAGCGCTTGCAGGCATACATTTTGCCTGTGGCCCGAACCTGGCAGGCACAGACCTGAGGTGCGAGAGAGACACCAAGGTCATGGGCACTGTGGTCTGCCTAGGCCCCTCCTCGGCAGGGCTGCAACGGACAGATCAGAGCCAGCTGGGCTTCCTGTGGGTGCTGCAGGCCCACAGGACCCACAGTACACCTGGCTGTACCCACTGCTGTCCTGGGCTCTGCCCTTGTGACCTGGCCTCAGGGCCCCTTGCTGTCCCCTTTGACTGCTTAGGAGGATCCCGGTCCTCAAAGAAACAAAATGGGCCATGCACACATCAGTTAGATGATTGGCAGAAGCTTCAAATGCTGCCCTTGTCTTAGAGGCAACTGAGTTTCTTCTGCCAGCCACTGGTGGGGACGGTCGGTTTTGGGGACAGTGAAGGGAGACCCTGGAGAACCCTGACTTCATCATTCAGATCTGGGAATGGGGCATTTGGTTTCTAGCCCTAGTTCTGCCCCTGATTGGCTATGTGACCTTGGCCAGGTCACCCAACTCTTCTGCACCTCAGCTTTCCTCATCTCAAAAATGGAAGTAACAAGGCTGGCCTCACACACACTGGGTCACATAACGCCCAGCGAGATCTGGATTCCCACAGGACAGCGCATAGCCAGGCATCGTCCAGACAGGCAGAGGCTGAGCGGCCCCCACCTCCCTGCCTCTCCAGGGAGGCCCGCTCCCCACCCTCCTTCCCACCTCACACACCTCGTGTACCCCAAGGCATGGATCCTCCACCCTCCCTCACTGCCACCAGGGGACCCAGGGCAGAGCTGTCCCTGCCCCAAGCCCTGCTTAGAACTTCAGGCCCACCCAGGAGGGACAGGCAAGGTGAGCGGAACCTGAGCTGAACCTCAGTAGAGAGCGCGGGTGTGCACTCACCTCCCCGAAGCCCCCTTTCCCGAGTACTCGATACTGCCTGAACGTGTTTTTGGTCACTGGTTGCCTGGAAAAGAAGCAAGAACCCCAGGTTGGTCTCTGGAGGTAGGAGTCAGGATCCATAAGAAATAGATGAGGGAACCAAATGCAGAGCCTGCAGGCCTCACCCTTCCAGCAGGGGCCACACCTCCTGCCCTGGCTCCTTGCAGGATCCAGAAGACCCAGCCTCACGAGGGGCAAGGCTGCTGGCTTCAGGTCTGCTCCTGGGACTCTGGGACAGTCAGTCCCCAACCCTCCACCACTGGGAACCCTTTATCCTATTTCCCCCATTGATCCAGGATCCGGGAAGACCCTGAACGTCCAATGTATTTATGAAGTAATCTCCACTTTGTGTCCCCCGACTCCCTGTTTCCATTAGCAAAGCCACTTAGAACATCTACTCAGGCAGGACTTCCGGTCACAAGGACAGTACTCCGAGGAGTAACCCGTAGAGGGTCATGCAGTCGCAGCTAAGGACTCCACGGTGCCGGGAGCTTACTTTTCTTTCCTGGCCTTTTGGCTACAACTAATTAGCTTAAAATGTTAAAACTGGCTCTTGGATCCCCAGGACTATTTTTGAGTGCCCTGCTCCCCAGGAGTCCTGACCAGGGCAGAGGTTGGAGTGAGACTGAATTGGGCCAAAGAACTGGGTCAGTAGGAGAAGGCCAAGCGAGCTGGTGGCCCAGCATGAGGCACGATCTGAGAAACCCTATCCTGCATGGAAACCCTTCTTGCTGCTGGGGCCTGAAGAGGGTTTGGATTTCACTGGAAACCACGTCCTCAGCAGTGCAGTTCCTTTCTTGGATCAACTCTGAAAACCAGGCACCCTGCTCCTTGTCTCCAAGGCACGTGCTGTACCTCCCTGCTCTGTTCGCTGGTGGTTCTGCAGGAAGTGGGGCAGGTCCCCACTGGAAGCACAGAGATGCTCCCTCGGCCGTGCTTCTTCTTCCACACAAGAGCGGCCTGGGCAGCCTTGGTGAAAACCTGCCATGTGCCCGCATCCGCCACACGGCCCTGGGAGCCTTTCCTAGAACAGCCCCCAAAACCACATGAAGGCGGCCGAGGCCTAGCAGTTTATGATACATGGAGAACAAACAGCCGGTCAGTGCCACCGCAGAGCTCCTCTGCGAGGGGGAAATAAGTGTAATACAATTTCCCAGGAATTTCTTGGTTAACCTTGGGAGGGAAAAAAAATCCCTTTAATATTTCAACAGTACAGCACCAACAGGCCAGGATCTTGTTTAGAAAAAAAATGAGGGGAAGGCAGGGTGCTGTCAGTCATTAAGCCGGGATCCTGCTTCATGAGTTCGGAAAATGTAATGCCTTCCAGAGTGAGTGCTTAACTTCTGGGGTTCCCAGAGTGACAATGCTTGCTTGAGTGCTACATCCTGCACGTGGGCTTATGTCACCCTCATGCTAACCCCAAAAGGTGCTGCTGTCCCTGTTCTACAGAGGACAACACTTAGGCATTGAGAGGGGGAATGGGATGCCCAAGGTCGGGCCGGTAAGTGGTGGGGCTGGCACAGGGGTGTAGGCAGTCATCTGCAGAGCCTCGTTCCAACCTGCACTGGTACTTGGGAGGGCTGGGGCAGAGGGCCATGTGTTACCCAGCCCAGGGCTCCAGGAAGGGCAGGATGAGTGTGCACCCCATCAGCCTGTCCTGTGAGCTTCAGGTGGGCTGCGACTGCAGAATCAGACACAGAGAGCTGAGGGCCGTGGTCCTGGTCATGACTGCAACTGTGCCCAGTGGTGTCCCTCCTGCAGCCAATGGCTGACTTCTGTTGAGGATTAGCCTGTTGAGGATCTAGCACATGCTAAACTCCTCTTATCTCACCCTCACCCCAAGACTACGAGGCAGGCATTATTGTCCCCATTTTACCAGTGAGGAAATCGAGGTTTGGAAAAGTAACCCAGCCTTGTCGAGGCTCCTTGGGAAGAGAGTCTGAAGCAGGACTCAGACTGAGTTGGGTACATGTGCAGGGTGGCCAGTGGTATCATCGGGTCAACAGAGAAGGCCACCTCTGGTCTCTCGGTCATCCCCACTGGTCAGGGTGGAGAGAATGGCCCACCCAGCTGCACAAAGGGCACGTTCCTGCTGGGCTTCCTGAAGTGTGCTGGGCTTTGAAGGGGCTTCTGTCTTGCAGCTTCTGAGCTTCTGAAGGGGTTGTGGAAGGGGACACTCCCACCTCACCTACCAGCTTAGCTCAGCATGGATTTAAGTAGCTATCACACCTTTCTCCAAATCCTGGAACACTGTAGATAACTGGGCAGTGGGCTGGGGGTCCTGGGCCAGGGTCTCCCCTTGGCTGCGCTACTGGCTTGCTGGGAGATAAGGCAAATCAGGTCCCCTCTATGTCTCTCCTTCCTTATCAGTCACAGTGAGGCCACATCTGCCCAAGTGACAGCCATGCATATGAAAGCATTTGAAGAGAATGAGACATCAAATAAACCATTAAGAGACTCCCTGTCTCATCTCATTAGCGAGATGGAAAACTAAAGAGGGAAGCCCCCGCTCACTCACTGAGGGGAGCAGGCACAGTGCTGAGGACGCTGGGGAGGAGCTGGGGAGGAGCAGGCGTGAGCTCGGGAGCAACTGGAAATCGGGGGCGGCAGTTTCAAAGGGCAATTTAACAGTCCCTCACAGTTTGCAATCAGGTGACTTTTGACTCAGAAACTCCCGCTAGGAATTTCTATGGCTGTACTTGCAAAAGTACATAAAGATTTATGTTCAAAGCTATTCATTATTTCGGGGAAGGTTGCATAAAAACTTGAGAACAAGTGTCCGTTAAGGGCACTGGGCAAAACAAAGAGTGTGCAACTACTTCAAAGACTCTGGTAGCTCCAATTTGCTAGCAAAGAAAGAATTCCCAAAGAGAGTGAGCCAGAGAAGCAAGAACAAGGTGTTGAGTGTGTGTGTGCATGTGCGCAGTGTAATGCACACACTAATAAGCACAGGGCTTTTCTAGAATCCCCAAGAACTTAATTAATGAGAGGAGGATAGCTAATTTTATTGTACCCATGGGCCACGGGGGTAACCAGCTTTTATATGAATCCTCAGATGGAACCCTGAGCCTGCTGCTCCCACTCACTCCTCTCACGCACAGGGTGTGGGGGACTCACCTCTCCAACCATTTCCACTGGAGAAAGCGATCAAAATACATGCTGTCCAGATATTCGTGGAATGGCTCTCCGCTCAGGTAGTCATGGACAGACCTAGCTCAGAGAGACAGAAGGATGGGCATGTTATAATCGCAGACTTGAAGCAGCCAGGTGGGGCTGTACCTGCAGCGTAACAAATGCAAACCATCGAGGCAGGCATCTGGCCAAAGGTCTTGTCATTTTGCTGAAACTGGATGATCCTGCAAACATGGTTTGGTGTCTGCCAGGTACTGGGCACTGTTCTAGGTCCTAGGATATGCGGGGAGCATGGGATGGGCATTGTGATTAGGGACACAAACAGTAAGTCACTAGCGTTAAACCAGCAATCTCAGAGTTATGTCATCGCCAATTAGGGGAAATCTCTCTGAAAAAGGGATCTGTGAGCTGAGGTGAGGACAGAGGCAGAATTACTGAGGTACAGGGAGGGGCTGGGACTCAGAGGTGGGGTGGGGGTGCAGAGTGGGGCTCAGTCCCTGAGGGCTTTGAAATTGATCCAGGACCAGTGAAGTCACTATGAGCTTTTCATGAGTGCAGCAGAATTTACTGGTAACCTGCTGTGGGCCAGGTGCCAGGATAGGCTCTGGGAGACTAGGACTCCTCTATATTCTTAGGCAAGGCCTAAGGGGGCCTGGCAGGGTTCAAACTTGGCTGCAGGCAGGGGTGGGCTTCTCCCCTTAAAAAGTGGGCCTGTTGTGTAAGGTGTTACACACCTGTAATGCCAATGGCTCAGGAAGATGAGGCAGGAAGATCACAAGTTCAAAGCCAGCCTCAACAACTTAGTGAGGCCCTAAGCAACTTAGTGAGACCCTGTCTCAAAAGAAAACATTAAAAATGGGCTGGGGATGTAGCTCAGTGGTTAAGCACCCTTAGGTTCAACCCTGGTACGCACGCGCACACACACACACACACACACACACACACACAAAGCAACCCAGCATGCTAACCAACCCAGTCAGGTACTTGGAACCTGAGGAAGGGCAGGGACCATGAAAGGGTGAGAGATGCCAAACTTGAACACGGCCAGCATGGGAGGCCAGGATGGCCCTTCCCTTGGGGTCAGAGTCAGGGTCACTAGCTGTGCCCCTGCCCAGTGTTAGACCCTCAGCAGCTTCTACAGAGCAGCCAGCAGGTGAGCCTGGCATCCTTCTGCTGCACTGGATCAGGTTGGGGGAGGGGGGAGGGGTCTCCTGAACATCCACCTTCACCATCACACCATTGCTCTTCCAGCTCTTCCCTGGCTCAGGGCACCCAAGTGGCTGGTTTTGTTGTTCAAGCTGCACCAGGGCCATCAGGGAGTCCTTGCTCACTTTGGAAACCCCAGGTACCTCGCATGTGGGGACACAGCAGTGCTTAATACCTGGGTGCTGAATAAGAGCCCACGAAAATACCCCAGGCCCAAGCAGCTGTGTGGGATGAGCTGGCTCTAGCCAGGTCCTAGTGGGTACAGGTTTCTGTGTGCCGTATCTGCTCACAGGCAGTGGTGCATGTGTGTGTACATACATGTGCAGTGCTAGGTGCACACGCCTTTGGAAGGTGCTGTGCAGGATGGGGTGCGGGCGTAGGTGGTGCCACTGGCTGGTCTCGCTCCCCCTGGGGTAGACGTAGGGGCTGCAGACAAGGGGCTGGGTGCTGGGAAGGCTCCTGTGGCCCACCCTGCATCAGCGGCAACTGACTTGACTGGTGGCAGAGTGGGGGTTGGGGGCTGGAAGGATTTCCAAGCCACAGAAGCAGGGTCAATTTTTGCACATTCCTCTGTCTCAACAGCCTGGAGGAACACTTGTTTTCATCTTTGTAGCAGATATTTTCTTTGGACTTGGTAACCTGGTATCTCATTCCCTTTGTGAAAAGTGTAGTCATCCACTTATTCACAGAGGACTTGTTTCGACAGCACCAGTGGATGCTGGGATCTCCGACAGTGTCAAACTCTGTGTGTACTCTGATTTCCTCATATATACCTACCTGTGATAAAGTTTAACTCATAAATTAGACACAGTAAGAGGTTAACAATAATAACTAATGATAAAATAGAATAATTATAACAGTATACCATAATAAAAGTGATTTGAAATTTACAAATTATTTATTTCTGGAATTTTCCATTTAAAATTGCCAATGGGTCACTGTGGGACGTAAACTGCAGATCTGGGCGACTACTATGCACAAGCCATTAGGTGGCCTGGCTGGAGCTCTTGGGCTCTGAAGACCTGCTCTGGAGCTCGGCTACTGGTGGAGGGTTCAGGGTGGCACCTTCTGGGTGTCTTAATGCCCCAGCCCAGGGAGAAAGGTGGGCCTGCCCAGGTATGTGAGAGGGGTGGAGCACTTACTGAGCACAGGCAGAAAAGAGTTCTTTGCCGGGCCTCTGCAGGAGTTTCGCCTCTGTCTGGGAGACCAGGTCTCGGCTAACTTGGGCGATGAACACCGGGGACTAGAAGGAGGAAGGAAAGGGAAATGGTGAGGGAGGAGGAAGGAGCCAGGGCTTTCCCATAGTTGCCAGGTCAGGGACCAGTCAGATCCCCAGGGAGGTACACGCAGCTGCCAGTCCCAGTGAGGCCCTTGCCTCCTGCCCACACCCCTGGCTTGGGCAAATGGGCAGTGTTCAGTGGTGTGGGAGGCTGCCGGGCCAGAGGACAGTGAGCACGCCCAGACTTAGGGTGCGATTTCTGGCTCTCACAGCCGTGTGGCTTCACAGAGGCCACCGAGTTCCTCTGAGCCTTGCTGCTCACCTGCACAGTGATCATCCCTATGGCTGCGACCTGGGGTCGGAACTGACAAGGTCTGCAAATGCACACAGCTGCAAAGAGCTGTGCAAGGGGGCCTCGGTGACTCCTAGTGAGCCCAGTGAGCTTGGTGAAGTCCCTGGACCACTCAGCCTGTTTCCCCTGAGGGCAAATGTGACAGGGATACCCAGGCTTGAGGTGCAGGTGTGAGAGGGTTTGCAATGGAAAGCCCGGTGGGAGGGGAGGCTATCCGAGCAGCTCTGGGGCTGGCAGACCTTCTGCTGATCCCAGGTTCAGAGCTGTGGAGCCTTTGGCTCAACCGTTCACCTCAGGACTCTCAGGAAGGTGACAAGAATAATCATTTTACCCAGAACAATCAATAAAACTTTCAGGAAAAGCTTCTGGCCCAGACCCTGGCATACAAGTTTGAGGTTGTGAAATTAATGTCACCACCGTCATTTCACTCTCCTAGGTTAGGCTGCTGGCCTGAGTCTTGGGTTTGAAAGGGTGGCTCTGAGCAGCAGCCCCACCCTGGGCGGGCCTCACCCACCCCCACCCTGCCCACTGCTCACCCTCCACCAGCTGTTCCCAGTGCTTGACTCACCAGCTGGCCTTTGAGGTGGGCTTTTAATAAATTACAGGGGAAATTGAGAAAAATTACCCGGAAAGCGCTCAGAAAGACGGGCGTGAACACATCTTTCTGCCCAAAGAATTGTTGGAGTTGGAAAGGCCTGCCTTCTCTCCCAGCTATGGAGATGTGACTACAGGGCTGATTACTTATCTAGGTCTTTGGGGCAGTGCCTCCTGGGGGCGTATAACCTGGGGGTGGGTGGGAGGTGGCAGCTGGCAGGTCCCTGCTGAATGAAATCAGCCGCTCATTTTCTATTCCCCACATTTCTCTATAACCAAATTCCTTCCTTCTTCTCTTCAGTCTTTCCCAGCTACACCCTCGGCAGGCTCACCCCTGCCCTGGGGTTCTCCCTCCTCAGGGAGCCTAAGAGGCTCCATCCCAGTGGGGGCAGCCTATGGGTGCAAAGCCAGTTACCCCAAGCACCAGGCTCCTAACACAACATCCCACCAATTTGCCATGGGCTGCCCTGGTTAGGGACAGCCCCCTGCCTTGAAAGGTCCCTTCCTCCTTGGCCTCCAAATCTGCCCTCTTGGAGAAAAGATGCTTCGTGCTGATGCTGCAGAAGGATCCTGGGACGAGGCAGGAGCCCCAAGCTTGTTCTGACCTCTGACCTTGGTCATTTTGTGGCTCCTCTGTGACAGGAGAGAGCTGCTCCTGAGACATAACCTTAGGCTCCTTGGAGATTTGAGAATTGGTGGTGGGGTGAGGGGTACACTTCTAAGACTTGGAAATTCTGTAGTTCAATCTCTTGGGAATCAGTAGCTCCAAGCTACTTCATAGTGATAAAGTATGAACAGGGCATGGGGGCACCCGCCTGTAATCCCTGGACTTGGGAGACTGAGGCAGGAAGATCACAAGGTCCAGGCCAGCCTTAGCAACTTAGTGAGACCCTATCTTAAAACAGAAAAACAAAAGGGTTGGGGGGTGCTCAGGGTGGAGCACGCCTGGTTTCAATACCAGGTACCAAAAAGTGATCAAATAAGGACAAACCATTGTCCAAGGGCAAATTTGCTTCAGGAAGAAGAGGGTTGAGGGCTGGAGCAGCCTTGGTGGGGAGGGCCCGGTGACGACACAGAGGGGTGCTCGATGCACATTTGTGAACAAGTGGGTGAGATGAGAGACGTGCTGCACCAGGATCTGACCTTTAACCTGGTAGGAATTAGCAAAGGCCCAACATGGGACACTCTGAAGCTGGGCCCTCTAAATCTGGGAACAAGCTCCTCATGCTGCAGCAAAGGGTGACAGGCTCAAGAGCACTGAGAGCGGAGCTTGTCCCTTGGCCTCCTGCATAGCATGGGGGACTAAATATGCAGATGTACATTTCCTTTTGTCTCCCTTTGCCACTTTTTCTCTTTAAAAAGCTTTGCTCCCCTGCAGCAGAGCCTTCAAGATGGAATTTTTTTAAAGTTTCTTCTATTTTTCTTCAAAGCTGGCTTTGAATAAAACCTATTTTCCGGCCAATTTGACTAAATATTTGTGGAGCTGTCAGCATGGTAGCCTCTTCCCCTGGCTGGTATTGGGCTGCTGGGTAACAAACAGATGCTGGGCATGTGGCTGTGGGGAGGAATGGAACCATTTTTGGGACCCGAGGTGCCCACCTGTCTGCACTTGGCTACACACGACCTTGCCAAGCCTCTGCCTTCACCTGCACCAGGAGGACCCACCTTCCCGCCACAGGCCCAGCTGGGGCTGACAGGGGGCAGGGGTGGGAAATGAAAAGGCAAAGCCAGTATGCCCCTGACATCAAAGTCCCTCCCTCCGTAAGACACAGATGCTATACGCACTGTGAGGGAGCGCCTCACGGGAAGTTCTTGCACTCCTTGGCCACCTTGGCCATGTGTGGTGACATACAAAACGGGCTAGGTGGGACTCGGTGGCCTTCAAGCTTTCCTTTCTTTCTGTTTTTAGCAGCAAGCTTTTCTCCTTTTCCAAATGAAATTTATCTCCTTATGTAGATCCAACATTTAAAATCAATAAAAGTAACCGGCAACAAGGGTTTACATAGAGTGAAGGCTGACCCTGGTCCACAATGCACGTAAGCACCTCCCAGGGGTTCTCACATTTAGCCTACATGACGGCTCTCTGAGGTACATATCAGCATGACGACCCTTTTGAAGACCAGGAAGCTGAAGTTCCAAAAAGTTAGGCAATTGGCCCAAGAACGCCCAGCCAAGAAGTGACAGAAGGGATCTAAACTGTGTGCCTTGGTTGGAGGTTTGAGGCCGTCTGGGCCTCCTCTCTCGCTTCCTTCCCTATCTCCCAGGAGGCTCCTTATGTAGAGCCAGCGTGAACACCAGGGCACTGCTGGGTCCTACCAGTAGAGGCAGGGGACATAGCTCAGGCAATGAGACCCGCACTAACTTAAGACAGAGATCATTATGGGCTGGAGCAATCTGGGAAAGGCTTTGTAGAAGTTGGAATTGAAGGCAATGTAAGACCTGGCCTCAGACCTCCCACCTGTCATCAGCCTCCCCTCTGCAGGCGAGGACAGCCCACTGTGCTCCCTTCTCAGTGGATGATAGGGGTGGCCCGGAGTCTAGAGGTGACCAATTCTGTGCATGAAGTCTCGCCACTCTCACAAGCCAAGCCCTGGCAGGGGAGTGAGCAGCAGATAATGCCTGTGGTTTCACGACCACTGCTTTAAACTCAGCCTCAGGCTTGACATGAAGAGATTAAATGATTCCAACTAAAACCCCTTTCAAGAGACTCCAGGGAGTGACAGCTTTCCCAACAAGATGGGAATAAGAAACTTCTGGCCAGTGTGAGCCTGGACCCGGAACCCAAGCCCCCCAAGGAGGCACGGCGAGCAGCTAATCCCAGGTGTGTTTCAGTGGAAACTGGGGTGTCTGATCCTTCCCCTCCAGTTTAGAGAAGTCCACTCTAAAGACAGAGCCAGTAAGAAGGCCCTCCACAGCCTGCAAGTGGGCCCGATGCACCCCTCAGGGGGCCCTGGGGATCTCAGCTGGAGTCACACTTGCCCTCCATCCCTGGGAAGTCCCTGCAGTTCTAGATCCCTGCCAGGAGGGAGGGGTGTATCCTGCAGGCCAGGAGGGCTGGTGTCCTCACTGCAATGAGGACTCAGTTGTGGACAGTGGACTGTCCTCTGTGGTGTGGCTGAGGGCCAGGCTGGGGAGGAAGGCAGGGGCTATGCTCCATATCAAAGATGGCCTCCTGATTTCCCTCTAAGCAGACATGCAAAGGTGAGGGCCTCCAGGCCCTTAGATGTCTTCATGGATAAAGGTGACTAGGAGTAGGGGCTTAGTGAAGTCGGCTGCAAAATTCCCCAGGGGTCTGGGAGCCCTCAGGCCCACAGTACTTTGAAGTTAAGGATGGTCTCCTCCTCCAGCTGCAGGCTTTGACTTTTAACACAATGGTATGACTAAAGCACCAAGTGTCCTTCCCTGCTCTCAGTGCTGGAGATGGAACCCAGGGCCTGGAGCACGCTAGGCCATGCTCTACCACTGAGTTGCACCCAGCCCTACCGAGGGTCCTTTGGAAGTTACAAAACAAGCTCATGATGGAGTAGCCCCCAAGGGCTGGAGGAAGGGCCGGAGGTTTCTCTGCTCAAGGGGTCCACCGTGAATACTTGGCCTTTTGATGGTCTTAGTAGCTGACAGCAGCCTGCCTGGCCCTGCTAGAAAGTCACTCTGGTGACAATCAGGATGACACCCAGCTGTCTTTATAAGGAGTCCTTGAACTGAGATAGCTTAAAACAGCATGATATGTCTCAGAGCACTGTTGTGTGTCCTTGGGACACTGACCAGAGAGTTTTCTCCCCGCTGGCCCGACTAGAAAGGACTTGGCTGCTGGAGGAACTGGTGCTGCTGCAGGTGGGCCTGGCGCTCTGACAATCCCCTCAGTGCCCGCTCTTTGGCTAAGGACCCTCCTCCACTCTTTCCCACTAATGCTGGGGAGGAGCAGGGTGGCATTAGAGCTTGGGTACAGTTCACCTGCTCTGAGTCTGTGCCTCTGGGTAAAAGCCCCTTCACCCTGAGGAGAAAGAACTGATCCTTCTCCTGCTTTGGGAATGAGAAATTGACCTTGAATCAGAGGATGTTGGGTTGCACTTGGCTGGTG